CAGAACTTTTTTGTAATCATGTTCTTGCAACTCCCAAACAGGATCTTCTGTACCCCAAGGGCCTGTGCTGACCAACGCTCTTAAAACCGTCCTTCCAAACTAGGGTCAAGATATGGGCGAAAGTAAAAGGATAGTATGCGCACAGAACACTGATGCCCAAATGCAGGGATTATTGTTAAGCTTGGCTTTTAACTTGTATAGCATCAATTTTAACTGTATTTCAGGTGGAGGCACGTAACGAACTCGAATCTTACGCGTATTCTCTCAAGAATCAGATTGGTGACAACGAGAAGTTAGGTGGAAAATTGGATGCCGATGATAAGAAAACGATCGAAACGGCTGTAGAAGAAACGATTAGTTGGTTGGAAAGCAACCGTGAAGCATCAGTAGATGATCTCAAGGAGCACAAGAAGGTAAGACTCCTTTTAGCCCTCTCTACATATAATCCTGTCCCATCTACTGTTGTTTTTTTTTCAAGGACTTGGAAAGCAAAGTGCAACCGATCATCAGTAAGCTTTACAAAGATGCTGGTGGTGGTGCCGGTGGTGATGAAGGAGTACCCCCGACTGAGGACAAAGATGAGCTATAGAAATGATCTGTGTAAAGTTTTAGTCATTTGATGAACTCACTCAGAGCTCCGTTGTTGTCCACAACGAATCTGTAATAATTGTGTGGGCAGTGTTGTTGTGCTATGCATTTTCGCGGCTTTCCTATATTTATTACGTGGTTGATGTTTTATAGAGTATATTACTCAATAATAAATGTTTTATCAAGTTTAACAAGTTACTTGTAAAGTTTATTCCTTTGATATCTTACCCAGGTGAAGCAAACTGACGTGATGATATTTGCGGTCTGGTCTCTGTGTTGACAATAGGTCAAGGTTATTGGTTTTGCCGTCTAATGTGATTGATCGATCGGAAAGGCTTTGAACGGTAGATATCAGATTATTGAGATCACCGAGATAAGTTTAATGATATTGCGCAAGCCCGGTGGGAGGTTTTTGAAGAGCTAGCGATGGGGACTATTCTGTTTATGGAGCCTTGAGTGATGGAACCTTTCTCTTACCTGGAGTGGCTTTGCTAAAGAATTCTAAATGTTTCTAGCTTTCAACTTGTCAATATAAACTGTAGCACTAAAGTCAAAATATTCAGGTTGTATCGCCGTGTTTTGCCATGCTTTTGAAAGATTACTCGCTTCACACCATCCTTAAGCAGTAGGGATAGTGAATAGTAGCAAAACAAAATAGACTATGATTACATTAGGAAATACCCGAAATGTACACAAGACGAATGCGTTCAGAATAAGCACCCCCGTATCAATTGCTGTTTTCCGTGGGAGCAACTCCTCGTGGGGTTCAGTTTTTCCACTAGTTTCCCATCAGATCAAGCCGATGCAGCCAGTTGTGCATGACATAACGGCGATGTTATTTTGTAGTTGAACTGCAATATATAGCAGTTTCCATGTCAAAGTAATTAAAGAGTTATAAGGAAAAATAATCTTCGTATTTCGGCCGTAGGTACATAGCTTCTTCCTTTAGTGTATCAAGTACACTGGTGTGCAAAACTTAGGGACGAAAGCAACTTTCGATCACTGAACCTCTGCCAGACGATAGAGCTCGATGAAATTTATATCATACGAAGGGAGGACCTTTACGGTATTGCACGGGAAGTAACTGGCAGAAAATCGAAATAGGACTAGCAAATAAGGCATTTTTATCGTATGGTACCGATTACACATAGTTCCTCACAACTTATCCTAGTACTTCAAAAGAAGCGACGCGGTTCCGAAT